GTTTACTCGAAAGGTTAATAATTGATAATGGAAAAGTAATATTTAATTTATATTTAAAAACAAGAAATAACACTTAGCTTTCCCGAAGCCAGTTTAAAATTTTCATCACGAGTCTGACACGATATTGTAGGTCAAATTCATTCATTAATCTTCTTCTCGTATATTTTTACAATTACGAAATTCCTGTGAAAAATTTTGATATCTAACCCGAATCTAATCCGCATAGAACAAATCCAAACGAAGTTCTCGGAACAGTGGAGCGGTGACGAAAACTATTGCAAGCTGAAATTTCGTGGGCCGAAACAAATTTTCTTGCGGAATACGCAGCCGCATAACTTTCAATCGAAACCGCCGGAAATTCGATTTCGCCTAACAGGGTTTCGACGTTCGATCCACCGCCCATCCCTTTTCAATCCGTTCAATAGCGGATATGTGGCGTTTCTCAAACTACTACGGTCTGTCTCTAAAGAAAACAAACTTCTTAATAATAATAGAAATTACATATTATACTAAAAGTTCTTTTTTCTAATTTACAATGAAACACTTTTAATAATAATGACTCACGAGTATTCCTTTATAGAAGTGTGCATTTTCTTTTCATTCGAAACACAGTTCTTCTGCAGCTGTGCGAGAATGATTTGTTAAATCATTCTGTGAAACGCTGTTGGTGCTCTGTTTCAATAGTATATTACCAACAAATTAGAGTGTTGCAACAATCGTCGTGCTCGCGAGACTATTTTCTATTTATACAAATCGAAATTTCTATTGAGGAATAGCGTTTAGACGTTGAACATTGAGAAAACTATAACGATCATCAATGGTATTATGCAGAATCACATGGAAGCTATTCCATGGATTAGCTGGTCGTAATAATCATTATAACGATGATAATCAAAAATACAGTAAAATATCGATTACTTGAATGAAGCAGCAAACCAGTTAATTCTTGAAACTGTTTATAAATTACAACGAAATGTTTCGAAGTAATACATTTATTATGGCTCGTCCCATAAACAATACAAATTTTTACATTCTATTTTCAAAAACAAAGATAAACAAAACTATTTTCAATCTAAAACGTGTTCCCCTTAATTATCTATAAATTATCCATCTATACATTACAATTACTTTTAAAACAGTTCCGTTTGTCTTTACCTATAAAAACGAAATAACCATAAAAAAACTGCATTATGCATGAAATAACCCAATACATGGTACCTTAGAATATTCATTACGTAAAACCACATTCAGTGTCAATCCCATTCTTCTAATTTAATTCTCAAAAGATTGGATAAAGCTCCACGCTCTATTAAACAATCACGTATCGACAATTCACGTTAATAGAAAGTTTACTCAGAGAAAACGAATGGAAAGCGGTGCATTTGTTCCGACGGCCGAGATTCTCGTTTAGCGCATTTTCCGCGAAAAGATCTGCACGGTGTGCCATTATTTTGAAAAAGTTTGGTGACTGCTCAAGCAGACCGTGTATTCCGCGGCGGAAAGTTTCGGAGGCGGCGCAAAGCGGAATGCAGCCCGGTCTCAAATTGATAATGCGCTCGTGCGCGTCGGCCTCCTATATTTGTCATTCCCTGTGCAATTCAGCCGGCTTATCCCTGGTAGCCGATTTTCTCCGCATTCTGCGCCGTCCTGGCGTATTTAACGGGCAAGAATGCACGCGTGACAGAAATGCCGCGGCGTCGCCCCGGGACGCTCCCTGCACGAACCCCGGGACACACATAAACGCGGGGACGATGAACGAGTGAAGAGCAGATCAAGCGCAGACTACTTTATTACAAAGCTTTTAACCCGTTCATTACCAGGTCCCGACAGAGTGAATAGTAAATTTTTGTATTTTATAGGCAGAGCCGACGGGTAAATACCGAGATCGATAAAACATGAAATCACACGCTAGAGGTTAACCCTTTGCGATCGGCGTCGTTACAGCGGCGACATTTAACCCTTAGCACTCCAGGTTCTTTTATAATCTATCGGCAACTGCAACTAATTTTTATAGTATTCCTAGCGACAATGAGAAATGCTATAACATTTCTTCGATCTTTTATTTTCCTTCTGAGTAGAAAATTTGGATGTACGGAAAATCGAATAATTTTAAGGTGGTTTCCTTGAGATTCATTAAAATATTTAAACTGGTGCAATATTGGAGCCTACAAAGTTCTGAAGGTTATCATTTGTTTTCGAAATCAGTGTCGCCAATATGGCATGTTCTTTTTCCCTGGGTGCAGTGTTATTTCACGCTCGAGAGGTATTGTATTTATTATTCTTTGCAGAATTTATATTCGACAAACACATTAACTTCAAATTTTTAATATTCATATATTTATTGTAAACTAGCCATAGAAAAATAAGTTTGAAAATATATACATTTGCTTCGACTAATCCTTTCGTCCTGAATGGTACGCATAAGCACGAACATGTTAACCCTTCGAGTGCCATTTATAAATTGAATAAAAATGAGAAAACGTTATATCATCATGTATAATCTGGGGTACAAGTAAAAAGAAAGTAACAGAAGATATGAAAAATTCCATTAATAATTACGTTTATCTCTGTAAAAAATAAAAAGTCGTTGAGAGCGGCGTTGGCAGTTTTCGAAAACAATTTCGTTTGAAAAATCTCTCGTTTTGCGCGCGATAAAGTGGAAAAATGAAGTGTGTACCTGTCAAACGTAGGACGAATGCACCCAGGTTATACTTTAATGAAAAACCAGAGCAGAATAAAGAAAAATTACATGTTTCTGTGTAAAATAAATAATTCATCAACGAATTAGTATCATTTCAAGCTTTTAAGATTGACGCGTATACACGTCAAACGCAGTTAACTGGTTCATTTACCAGGAAGCTAGAAAACGCCTATATAAAGGAAAATTGTACCACACAGGGATCTTCGCTTATGGGTAGCTTAACCCTTTGACTACGGCAGACTTTGAGACGTACCCGCCGTACCATACGGTAGGAATTCGGTCGCTACATCCGAGAACGGCGGAACTTTTCGTTAGGTGTGCATTACTAAGAAAGTGTATTCGAATAATCGAAACACTAAATTCCAGTACATTAAAACAATATTATTTATTTCTTTGTATTCTGCGTGGAATTGTTACTGTACTAAAAATTTAAAAGTGACATTAATGTTTTGTTTACGATATATCTGATAATCTAATAAAGCAATATTTTTAAGCATTATGTTTAATATCACAAGCGCAGGTTGTCTGAACGCTTTTGGGCATCAACAGTAGTCAAAGGGTTAAGTGCTAATCAGCAGTCAGTACACGTGTTTTGATTGATTACGCAACCGTAGGTTTCTTTTCATAAAATTTATATGAAAAAATACCAAAGAGTTAACGCTAAAACTACGAGACATAATATAACTTCATTGTCATTAACATTGAACTGACGAATTCCAAACTACAATTATTCGTGGGCCAATAATCTATTTAAAAAATACATTAAAATTAAAAAACATATAATGCATCTATTTGAAAAATTACATTTAGATAACTTGCATGAATTATTTTATGCAGTTTATGAATGTGTACAGGAAAATTGTAGATCATGACGTAGAGTTTTTGAATTTTGTATCGTACATCGTCACATTTGCCATTGACGAGTTACCGTCAGCATGTCAATCACTAGTAACAGTCACGAAGCTATCCATTCACGTGACATCAAGCTTCAGAAGTGCCTGTAACTGGATTGCTCGTGTCATAGAACTACAAGCAATTAAATCGCCATGACCATCATTAAATATACATAATTATATGAACCATCAAACATACTCATGGAAATATGATAAACTTTAGAAAAATGCCCTGAAGTCATTTGAGCACAATAATATTTGGAGACAATTTAATTTCAATTGTCAAAGAATCCAAACTTCTTTGCGAAAACTTTCATTACAACGAAATCGATTTTTATAAGTTCAAATGTTTACGTCACCTTTTTGTGAAAGATAAACATTTTTACTGAATGTCACAGCTTTCTATATCCTTTCGATTAAAATGTTTCAACTTCATAATTTCTCGAACTTTTAACATTAAACCTTACAGGTGACTACGATTTCAGACCAAACATAAATGTCACGATTGATATATTAATATACCGCGAAAAATTCAAAGTACCTTTACTGTGAACATACCTTTCTTACAGAAACATAGTAAATAAATCAATCAAAGCATTTTACATAAATTTCATATAGAATGGCGTTCAAAAGTTCTCGGTCAAATCGTTTTTGCAGTTTCTCTTGCACAATAAAGAGTTTAAGGGTTTTTGTTCTTATGACATATAAAGGACATATCGCAAGAGGATACTGTAAAGAAATCAACAGCAACTATTCTTCATACATGCTTGTTTAAAAAGAAGTAATGAATAATGATAATAAAATTTCGAACTCGCCAAACTAGTTGTTCTCTTAATGCACAACTATGAAGACGAAATAGTACGGTGTCTTTTATAATTAACACATTGCGTACTGGTAACGAGAAATCTGGTTTTTAAAAAATACACTTAGCTATGCAACTTTGCTAATTACCAGAGCATTTAAAGAAATATTCAATTTGATTCGAATTGATTATCTATTTGAAACATATTACATAACAATATATCTGAGTTTTTCTGTGTATAACGATGCGAATTGATCTCACTGAAAATTGCCAGTCACAATTCAGTTTTCCGAAAATTAACCGTTACGCAAAGTGTTAACAGAAATCCCCTTAAACTCATCCTGCCGGAACATTCGAAAACCGATCTGGCCAAGAACTTCCGAACGCCATAGTACACGTGACATTCAGATATAGACAAAGCGTCAAAACAACGTCATACACGACGCAAAACTATTAAACTCGCTCCGAAACATCCGCGAAAAACCAATGTACAAAAACGTATCTCAAAGAGAAATAAAACAGATTCGACTTGTCAAAATCTTCAAACGTTCACGCCGCCTGTAATCGATTTCCCGTCGTAATTCCTAACCCCTGTTTGTTTCAGGAGAGCATCCCGCGGCGATGCAGCATGGGAACTCGAGCAACAGCGGCGCGGCGACGAGGACGCTCGCGTTGCTCCTGTTGCTTCTGCACGCCGGTTCGTTCGCGAGGTGACTGGTCGATCACGGAGCCATCCAATAAGAACATAACCAGAGGTCGTCCCCCCTTTATTTAATCGAAGAAGAAGAGGAAGAGGAAGAGGGAGAGAAAGAAGAAGAAGAAGAAGAAGAAGAAGAGAAGAAAAAGGAAAAAGAAACCATGAGAGGAAAGGGCGAGAGGGAATCTAGAAAGGAAGCATCGTCTCAATCAACAGTAACCACCTTGTGCCCCTATATATCACCTTTGATCTTTCTTTTACCTGATCGACCAGGCGACCAGGCAGATCAGCGGCCATTACGGAATCCTTTCGCCAAAGAATTATCCTCGCACGTTTCGAGGACGCTTGTGACCGTTGCGCATCCCCTAAAAGGGACGTCCCGAGGATTCTAGCTGGTGGATCGCTAGCGCGACTCGCGAGGATTAGGAAAAATCTGCAGTGTGTCTAACAGTGTTCTCGGCTTCTTGTTTGTATCCGTAGATAATATTCCGCGTGTCAATCGAAGCAACGCGAGTGGGACTGTTCAACAGTGGCTGGAACGGTTCTCCGTTCGAGACGGCACCACGAGCCGGTTCGCTCAATCGGACTCGCAAACTGTTAGGTTCGTTGTTCGATGAAAATGAAGGAGAGAGGGGGACAGATGCGGCCCCGGGACGAAAAGCTCTCGGGGCGACATGTAAATGGCTGTTTAGTATGAGACAGTTGGACTCGACGCGATCCACGATACGTTCTTCGGTAACTGTAATCAACGATCCGCACGACTCGATCCCGTTGTCAATGGGTGTGTAGCACATTCGCGGTTTTTTTTTCATTTTTGTTAGCGCGGAGTTGGTTTTCTCGTAAGATGATCGGGTGTGTCTCGGATAGTTTCGACTCGAGGGGTTGTTTGTGCTCGTTTTTGTTTCATTTCTCAGTGGTTTTTGGTAATTTTCTTACTTTATGGGCGTTGCATTGAAACGGCTGTTTCGTTTGGAGGGTAGTAGAGAAGATGTACTTTAAATTGATCTTTAGTTTCGTTCTCTAACGGTGACTGATTCTTGTTATACTTGAAAAGTTGTAGATGAGTGTATCATTTAAAGGTACCGTTGAAGGAAATATGTTTATGGTGTCATTGTTACGTTTGTAATATAGATCAGAGGTTTGTGTTATGATAACATTATCTCTACTGATAGTCTGAATAAATATTGACGGACATTTGTTTTACCAGTTGTTATGCTTTTTAATAATGTATAACGAAGCTCGTATGATAGATATTGGGGATTGAGAGAATTCTTATTTGTTAATAAGGGTGGACCATTTCTCACGGAAGAAGTCGCGATGAACGAGGTCGTTTAAAAGATTAATTGCTAGCGTGATTAATTACGTAAACGTAAGCAATGGATTTATTTTGTTTCACTGATGAAGTCGTACAGTTATTGTTAATTAACGATGTATTATACATGGAAGAATTCACTACAATCGTTTTCTAATTACTTTCCGATCCGTTCGTATTATTTAAGATTCTTAAATGGTGCGGTTAACCAATAATAAGTAAAATATTAGCAATCTATTGGATCGAATAAAAAAAATACGTAGCGCAATGATATTTGATAATCAGCAGGTTTATTTGGAAAACTTTTAAACGTTAACGTCTGAACGCAGAAAATCATTGTAATGTACTTCGAATCACTATATAGTCAATTTTTTCAAGCAATAAAGCATTTACATCTAAATCGAAAATCTATCCTTTTTTCCATGAGTTTGCGTATCGCTCAAACAGTTTTTAAACTTGTAAAATAGTAATAAAATGTTGTATGCTCAGAATAGGTTCTACCATACGTATAAACAACTTTCATTTGAAAATACACTTGTAGACTGGTATAAATGGAATCTACTGAAATAAATGG